ATTTTATCTATATGAACCAAAATATAGTCATTTTCTCACATGATAGGGATCGTGACATTTTTGACTAACAACCCTTATGTAATGTTTCTGTTTTCACAAAGCCCAGGGGAGTGGGAGGAGGGGTTTACTGATGATAGTAAGTGTACATTTATTCAAATTGGATTTGCAGTAGAGGACCATATTGAATTCACACTAGTAAAAATGAATGGATTGGGCTCAGGACTGGCCTCTGCACTTTAACTAGCTTGTATTCCAAGTGACTTTGCTCAGAGTGTTGTTTCTTGTTTCTATGACTTTTTTCTAATCAGATACATAACCATTCCCTAATCCAAAAGACCAAAATCTTCAACTTTTTGATACGATGCCCCCCCATATGATACTGAAGTGGAAAATTCTAACTGTGTGCTAGCATCTGGGGGGGGGGGAATCTTCAGTAATCCAAAATTATTCTGGTCCTAACCATTTTGGATAAAAGATACTTAATTTACACAGTGATAAAAGTTACAAAATAATCTTAAAATGTCCCTTGATACAACACTGTTTCACATTATATAATAAACCAAGACATTAAACAAGAAGATGTTTCCTTCAAGAAATTGCATATGAGCAAGTAATTTATCATTTTAAATAGAAATGGGATTTAAAAAAATTCTATCTATTTATATATTTTTATTTATTTGTGCATGGATGTATGTGTGCTGCAGCACATATGTGAAGCTTAGAGGACACCTTGCAAGAGGGAATTGGTTCTCTCTTTCCACCATATGGATCCTAGGACTGGAGCTCAGGCCCTGAGGCTTAGTGACAAGAGTCTTTATCTCAGTGAGTCATCTTGCCAGCTCAGGAATGAGATTCTTAAATATGACTGGAGTGTAACTCAGTGGTAGAACTTGCCTTCAGTATTGAAAGCCTTGAGTTTGGTTTTACACTACAAATAAATTTTTTTTAAAAAAGATATGTGAATAAATACTGAGATGGCAGGGCAAGAAATGCTTTTTTAAAAACTTTACCAAGATCAGCCAGGCATGGTGGCACACGCCTTTAATCCCAGCACTCGGGAAGCAGAGGCAGGTGGATCTCAGTGAGTTCGAAGCCAGCCTGGTCTCCATAGTGAATCCAGGACAGCTGGGGCCACAGGGAGACCCTGTCTCAAAAGACCAAAAAAAAAAAAAAATGTTTTTCCCAAGATCTGTATCTATTTTTTTTTAAAAAAGAAGCACTTTATTGTACTTCATGTGTATTTTATGAAAATATGAAGCATCCTTCCCTGCATCATAATGTATTTTGGTGACAAATCTCCTCTAGTGTTGGTAGGAGAATGAAGGCATTTTGTGTTATGGTACAAAGTGTTTGTATGTTTCATCAGAAGTAAATGATACAGTGTTTATTGTAACTTTGTGTTTATTTTATCCTGTGTTGATTTACATTAAATTTGTAATATATATCTGTATATAAAGTCATGATTTTCTTATATTTTCATTAAAATACTTTGTGCCTACTTAAAATTCTTGTTCTCTCCAAATGGTTTTCATATAAGATCATTACATAATGCTACTTCATAAATAGATGACTATCTTGAACACTGTTGTTTAACCTTATTAAACCAAACTTTACCTTACTTTTGTTGTTTCTTTTTATTTTAGGAAAAGGCAGGAAATCTAGTGTATTTTGTCTTCAAAAACTGGAAACATTTAAATATATTACCTATTACTATGAGAAAGGTTCTCCAGTACTCCCTAGTACTGTGCTTGAGGAAAATGATTATTTATGAACAAAATAAGTTACATAAATGAACTTATCAGTAGTGTTTCTAACATATACTACATGTAGTATGTCTGGATGAAAAGGAAAAGTTGAAGTCATCTCTATTTACTTAGACAACCTCAGGGGTTTTTTGTCTTTTGTTTTTTTGTCTTTTGGAGACAGAGTCTCTCTGTAGCCCCAGCTGGCCTGGAACTCACTATGTAGACCAGGATGGTCTTGAACTCACAGAGATCTGCCTGCATCTGTTTCCCAACAACCTCAGTATTTTTCTCCAAAAGTTTTGTCATATAAAATAGTGGAACCATTACTGGCTTAGATGAGTATCCTCAGATTTCACATCACAGCGTATAGACTACTTCAGCTTTCAGCCCTGTGTTTCTGTCTTTGCAGTGCTTATACTGTAGAATTTGCAGTATTGCAAACACAGCCTGTGCAGTGATGTGATTGCTGTGGTCTGACTGTGGAACACCTCTCACAGTATTGTGTCTGAGCACTCAGTCCACAGTTGGTGGCCTTGCTTCAGAAGGTTATGGAATCTTGAGGAGGTGGTACCTCACAGGAGGAAATGAGTCACTGGGAGTAGGGTAAAATTTCATAGTTTGGCCTCATGTCCTGCCCACCCTGCTTCCTGACTGACCAGGCAGTGTGACCAAGCTGCCTCACCCTCCTCCTGTCATGTTACCTCACCGTGCTGAGCCATTCCCTGATAAGCCAAAATAAACCCTTCTACTCTTTTTGAAATTTATTCATTTATTATGTGTATGTTTTGCCTACATGTGCATAAGTGCATCTGGGCATTCGATACACACAGAGGCCAGAAGAGGGCATTGGAGTTACAGATTGTGGTTAGCTGTCACATGGGTGCTGGGAATGGAACCCTGGTCCTCTGGAAGAGCAGCCAGTGCTCTTACCAGCTGAGCATCTCTCCAG